TTGCTTAAGATGTATTTTGGTTCCAAAATTTTCATTTTTGGTAGAATTGACTCCAAATTTTCATTTGCTCCAGCGACAACGTAACCGCCTCTTCTCTAAAATTTGGACCGCCAAGCGCAAAAGAGACTTTCATTCCAAATATTCTTTGGTATTTGGCTCCAAAATTTTCATTTTTGGTAGAATTGGCTCCAAGTTTTTATTTGCTCCAACGGCAAAGTAGCTGCCTCTTTTCAAAAATTTTGGCCACAAAGCGCAAAAAAGGAAAAACCTTAGCTCTCAAACATTTTGGCCCGCAGGCCTAAAAATTCCAAACACACACTCGCTCTTTCTCTCTCTCTTTCTCCCTTCCCTATACATATCCTCAACTCAGCATGATGATTTGATTGGTCTTGAAGATTTGAGAGTTTATTGGTATTTAAGCTAGTTTAGAAATCTTATATCAGCATGATGATTTGGATAATTCTAGATGATTTCAATTTGGCTGGTGTTCATGCTACAAGAAAGATTATTTTCAATTGTATTGATATTTGTTTTATTGACACTAATCTTATAACTTTGAGTAGTGATTCCTTTTTTTTTTACAAGTATTGTGCTAACTTCATATTGTTGTGATTTACGACTTACTAGTAATCACTAAAAACTAACGCGATGTTCTGGTCCGTAAAACCCGCAACCCGATTAACCCGCACCCGATTGAACGGTATTCCGATTGGCCCGCAACCCGAGAGACCCATAACCCGATGAACCCGCAACCCGATCAACCCAAACCCGATCGACCCGCAACCCGACAAACCCGCAACCCGAATGAACCCAGCCCGAACCCGCCCGATTGACACCTCTAATGGGTATTGTGTTTTATATATTGATTGAGGTATTTTCATGCAAATTGAGTGTTTTTTATCAAATCCCTCAATTTTAAGGTAATTGATCTAAGAGGGAGAAAATCCCCTTATAGCAATTCGTGTCACTTCTCAATCAACATAGTGTGCCATGAATTGTTGTGATTGGTGTCTCTTCGTCGTTCCGGGATAATTCTCGAGGGAGTGGAATCAATTACCTTAATCGTCTTTTGCAGCTGTGTGGTACGCCCCTCCGATTCGTTCGATTAAGCTAGGGGTGGGCATTCGGTCGGTTCGGTTACCGAATCCCCGAAGTAGCTCATGGAGTGAACCGAGTTTGAACCGAAATATATCCCAGTTCGGTTCGGTTTGTAGACTCTGCCCGATTTTTTTTCTAAGAGAGTGCCCCTCTGTCTCTCTCCCTCCCCACTTACCCCCTCTTTCCCCACTTACGCCCTGCACCAGCTGGTTCACGTGTTGGGAGTGCTTGTCGTGGGGGCAGATCAGCTTCGCGTACTTGAGCAGGGCATCGTCGTCGTCGTAGCGGAGACCGATCGTGAAGACAGCGGGGAGGATGAAGGGGAGCTTCTCGGCGGACATGGCCTGGACCTCGAAGGTGTAGTTGACTGGGGAGATGTCGAACTTGGTGTAGGATTGGCCAGGGAAGATCCATGACTTCTTGGCGAGCTTGATGTCCTTGATCCCGACGCCGGTGATCGCCAGGTACTCCGACGCTTTCGCTACTCGGTACATTGTGGCGGCGAGTTGATTTGGATTCTTGGGGTTTCTTGGTGTTTTGGGGGTTTTGTGGGAACGATGAAGATTTGCAGGTGGTTTTTCATTTTTGGTGGAGATGAACATAGTAGCAGGTGGTTTTTCATTTTTCTTTTCTTGGAACGGCCCTTCATCTTGCTTCCCTCTCTTCGGGGAAAAAATTCATTGACCTGTAATTTTGTGCTGTTGTCCGTCCTTGAAACTGGGTTGGGAGCTCTTCCCCTTCACAAAAACCAGACGAACGAATGTATGAATCAAGCCCCACTGTGGGCGCCAATTGTTTGTACCATCTAGCTCCAGTATGAACAATGATATTTGTTAGTGTGGAGTTGACTGACAATCCGTTCGTCTGATCTCGTCGGGAGGGAAGAAACCTGTGAAAGAACCGGGGATGCCCCCCGGATTAAGCTCCGACGATCAAGTTAGTTTAAGTTTGAGGAGAGAGTTGAGAGAATAAGGTAGAGAAATGAGGTTTAGAGAGATAGTGGAAAGTAGAAAAGTGAGGAGAGAGAAGTCCCCTCCTTTGGAGGGCTTCATGCCCTTATATACCTGTAGCTGGTATCGAGCGTCACGGATCGCCGATTATGCGCCCTACTACTTAGTCTAAGCACGGAGTATTTCAGTAACACCCCCAACAATTCATTAGTTTGCTTTCAGTAAGCTTTGCTTATTCTAGGTGTTTGGGCCATCCATTTACTGATCCCATAATTTTCGCTTCTCCTACTACACTGTTTCATTATCACTGCGTGCTTGCTTTGCAACCTACTTTCTCTGTTGTTGCTATCAGAATGACCAGTACGAATCAATTTCATGTTGAATAGAATATAATTATGAATCCAACCAAAATTAGCCAACTAGATTTGATATATGTCAGACAGGTTTTAATTATGTTTACATGATTGAGTACTACTATCTTTACGTTGAGTGCTTCAGTGTTTGATTTCTGCGTTTGTATCAGATCTGGCTATGAGATCCTGTCGTGCAGGGAGGGAGACGAACAAGTCAATTGCTTGATCTTGGGCTTCCTAATCGGAGTTAACAAAGGTCAGCAGTAGCTAGAGGCACAATTGAGTGGATGGTGTGGGGCATTGAATTGGAGTTAAAAAATCGGTATGCAAAATCAATTAAATCCATAGTGTTGTGATTGATTGGTTTTTTATAGATGATTATTCTTTTCATATACGAGTCTGGTGCATTTAGTTGATCAATGAAACCACTTTCTAAAAGCAAGTGCAAGTACTTGCTCATATTTGCAAGTGCTTGATCAAAATTGGTGTTAAGAACTTATATCTTGCTCATATTTTCTTGATATTTTCATGTATGAGACTGCTACTGATATATTCAAGAACTGCCCTTTACTTTATGCCAATGCTCGTTAGCCGCGTACCATTCAAATGTGAGTTTTCTACTACCTCTTCGCTTAGCAACTCAGCCCTCAAAATACAGATTCTCAAGGGTATAGTTGATTGGTCAAATTGTATTTGAATCAGGGTGCTATCCATTCATGGGCCCTTTCATATTCATAGCTTTTGTTCTCTTTTTGTTTTGAACTGCAGTGAGTCATTAACTTTGCTTTGATGTTGTCTTAAATGAAGGAGGGTTGCCCAGTGGGCTAACTTTATCACTAATTCTTTCTGCAGGTTTAGTTTGTCGAGCTAGATTGGTAGAAGAGGAAGGGGATGTTCAATACAAAGCAGGTAGATATGGGACATCAGCTAACATAAGAGGAAGAGTTTGAATAGAAGCCAGGAGAATCAGTAGTTTCACTTTCTTTTTATTCCCGTTTTCCCCCATTTTGTGTAATGTGTAATACTTAAGTTGGAATAGTGAATGTAGTTAAGTAATTCCATTTTATATATTGAATTTGGTGACCTGTGATTTATTATGCTAGCCCTTCAGGGGGATTTGATGTTGGAATGACGACACATACCCAGTGGATTTTGAACTGCAGAAAACCTCTATATCTATCCCGTGTACTTTTATCTCTGTTTTCTCTTCCTTTCTTATGTTGTTTCTCATTGTTCATTTTCCTTATTTTTCTAATATCTCTCCCATGTTGGCCACGCTCCCTTTTTCAGTGATTCTTTGGTTCATTTTAGAACCATGTTCGAGATCCATGCTAGAAGATTCTTCATGTTTAGCTGCTCACTCAAGCGAATGGGATAAGGTAATTTCAAAATGGTGTTCCTTGCAGTAAGCCATCAACTATGTATTAGTTCGTATTTGCTTTGTTGGGTTCCGTCTTGTCTTCATGAATCTCAGCTTCTTAGTTTGGATTTCGATTCTCCATGCTTGCTCTTAATGGTGATTCATTTTGGGTATCTCTTCTTGTTAGGTTGTTTTGTTTCTCTTTTTTTTTTATCGTTACCTTATCAGTGTCGTTTTTTCTGTGTTTTACTTTTTCAATATCGGAACATTGGCAAAGTCTCTACAATCGATGATAACTATATATACACTAAGGAGGTTAATCCTTTAGTTTTCTATTTTTTTCATTGAATATAGACTTCTCTTCTCTGCGATTTCCACGGATTTGGTCTGTGCGGGTGGATGTTTTGATTTCATCATCGTGACTCTCAGTGGCTATTTAATTTTTGTTCGTTTTGTTCTTTTACTGTAGATAATAACTGTCAAGGTGCGGTAGTTTCCAGGTTTGGCCGGCTAGAGAGAGATGTATACTGCACCCGGGCAATGGAGCACGATATAATTTTGCTTGCAGACTGACCTTAAAAGTATCATCAAGATGAAATGTAAACTTATACAGGTTAAGAATAAACAATCATAATTGAGTTTTATTTTCACAAGTTTTGATAAGATCAGTTACAATTATTAACAAAATTTAATGTGAATTATAAAAACAATAATTAATCAAAATATGTATCTAAGTCCATCGCCAGATATTTTTATTGGAATGACTAATGAAAACGACAATTTCAGTAAAAGCTAGTATTTATATTGGTATTATCCCAACAAAGTATAACTATCTATTAGTAATATTATAAATAATTTGAAAGTATAAATACATTAATTAACATAAAACAATAACAAATAAAATGAATTAACCCGATCAACGGGTCGGGTATATAAGCTAGTGATTATTACAGTAAAAACACAAAGTCATCTCTGTATCCACGAGAAAAAGATGGGGAAGAAGAAAATGAGTAAAAGTGTAAAACAAACAAAAAGAAGCGACAAAGAAAAAAAGGAAAACTAACCAGAAACTCCGGCGTCTACCACCCAAACCAAAGAAACCAACCACAAATTCACCTCTCTCTCACTCTCTCTCTCTCATCAATCCATATTCTCTCCATTGCCTTTCTTTTCACTTATTTCTGGGCTCTCTGTTTCCCTGTGGCTGGAGCACCGATTCGTTGCCAGAGAATAGTAATCATGCCTATTTTCCCAGAGAGCAGCACAATTGGTGACCAAATCAGGCTCAGAAGGTCCAGTAGAAACCACTTCGATTCCCATTATCTTCATCGCCATCAGCTAGACCCAGCAGCAGCAGCCGAAACAGATCCCAACCCACAACTCTCTCGCCCTGCCAAATCCACCACCATCTCTTCCCTTTTCATCTCTCCATTCTCCGCCAACTCAACTGAACCACCCAGCGTCACCATCGCCAACAACAACAGTAGTGTCGGCGTCAAGAAGAAGGGAACCGCTGCTTTCAGAGGCTTGGGATGCGCTGCTGGGGCTGCCCGTCAGGTGTCTGTTCCGGCGGTGATAAGGTCATCGGCGGAGTGGGATGGGAAGAAAGTAAAGAAGAAGATGAAGAAAAAAGCTTTGGTTGCGTCTCCTGCTCCTCCCCCGCCGCAGCAGCAGAGGAGGAAGATGAGCGAGCAGCAGGGGGTTAGCGAAGAAAGGAGCAGCAGTGGGGAGGGCATCTGTGGTGGGTTAAATTCTCAGGGCAATTGTATGGTGATTCAGGATGTTTGGTGTGGCCCTGGAATTGGGTTTTCTGGGGATGCTGTTGTTGATTCCGTGGACTGTGTTGTCACCAGAAGAAACTTGCCGTCTGCGAGAGGCAGGATTGATGTCGAGAAATTCATCAATTCCAGGGAGAGGGAGAGGGAAAGAGAGGTATGCCTTTTCATTACTCCAGGAATTTTGTTTCTGCTCTTACAATTCATCTATGCCATACAGTACTAATGCGTAAATGGATTCTGGTTTTATGCTAGTTAGTTGCTGGGCTAGTATTTACTTGGCTCCTTCGGGACTTGAATGCATGGCCAGAGTTAATGTTAACTTGTTCGTCTTATTGATTGGGATTCCTGCTTGGGTAGTAGGCCTTCTTTTAGATGGACATGAACATGGACAGTAGAGGTTGGTTCCGTTTGCCCACCAAGACCAAGTGTTTTCTTTTCTTCGTGACAAGTCCTAGTTCTGTTGTAACTCTCCTTGAAATGTTCCCTGCGTGTACGTTTGGTTTTCCTTTCATAGTATTATTATTATTCATGGCCTGATCATTCTTGGATAAATATCGACTACTAGGGGGTCCCCGCTTAACCTTGAGAATTACCTATACTTCACGGCGCTTTTTGTTTAGAACCCTTGCCATTCTGGGGCTGCAGGCAAGTTAGGGGAGAGTGAGTTTTGTTCGTAAGTAAGCTTCGATTAGTACCTTCTCCGTTTTCTCTTTTTGGATTACAATTAAGTTAGAGTGAAGAGTGTTCAAAGTACCAAGTACACTTGATGCTACTTGTCTTTTCTTTTCATTCGTTGGAACGAACCCAAGTCTTGATTGTTGATTCTCCTAACTTGTCTTCTCGGACTGTTAGATGATAATGGTTACTGAACTAGTAACTACGCACGTCTTTTTCGCTTTCCTTGTGTTCTCTTTCTCTGATCTTTGCTTTGGTTTGTGCTATAAATCTGCATGCTTATGGTTGAGTGACCCCATCCTGGATTGGCAGCGTCCTTGTTTAACGTCGAGGCGAGCAGCACCGGCTGACCCTGAAGCCTTCTCATTCTGGGACGCGGAACCTGCTGCCTTTGCAGCTGTGAGGCCAGAACCAGAATTGTTTGGAACTACTAGGTATTACCGTCATTTCCGACGTGCTCCTCCTGATGGACTTGCTGAGGTACGTGGAATCAGATTCTTCGCTTTTCTGACTTGAGGATTCTTAATCTTAACGTAATGTTTCTTGCCTCTCTGGATAGGTTGTTTGACAATCAAGCTAAATCCCTCATCTCATTCTCGTTATTGTACGATAACTTTAGTGATAAGGCTTCGTTGGACTTGTTAGAACAACTGAGCTTTTCAACCTAAAAGCCCTTTCCCCGTAGCCCCCTTCCTGATAATAAAAAAATTTCAGCGGACTTCGTCACAGAACCTGTGCGGATGATTATTTTTCTTTTGATTGTCTTTCTTCTTAAGTCCTGGCAAAGTAGATGGATTGTGGATTCATGCTTGGAAGTTAGGTAGAAAGTAAAAACCATGGATTGGGAGGAGACTAACCATAAAATAAAAAAACCAAATTAATAGGGAGGGGGTTATGTTATGAACTTTTTGTTGCATGTGAAAGAGTTTGGCGGAATCATAATCCAAGTTATAACAGATATTCAATAACGTTGTTTGCTGACTCATTTAACTCTGGAACAAGCTCTCCGCTTCAACTGGAGGAAGGGGGAAAACCCCAATCTAACCGTCATTCATAGTGTTCCTGTTGTTTCTGCACCAGTAACCATTCCATGAAAACCTACAATAAGTTCTATGTATGTCCTCCTGTCAATTTTGGTCGCACACTCGCGTTATTCCCATCTTTGTATTGCATATGCTTGGTTTCCCCAGGTTTCACATTAACTTATACTTCCCTATGTAGCAAATTTTTAATGATTGTATGTTCTTCTTAATTATGGCAAGGAAGTTTCAGATGTTAATATGATGGTGCTCATGAGAACTTCATGGAAAGAAATGGATGCAGTCCTAATGGTCTGAACAAGGGCTTGGTCCACAAGATTTCAACCTGGAGGTCCTAGGTTAAATCCCTTAAGTAGTACCTAATCTATAAAAAAAAAAAAAAGAGTAAGCTTATTTCACGCTTATCCAAAATAAAATCGAGATGAGCAAAATCTTACAGTTTAAGAATTTCGTAAGGATGCAAGGGAAGCCATTTTGTTTATGTTAATTGGCTAACACGTAGGAGGTTGTGGCCTGTGCAATGGATAGGTCGCTAGATTATCTAATATTGTTAAGCTTCAAAATGGGTTATGTTACTGCAGGTCTTGATGCTCCAGAATGGTTTCGTGATGGGAGGGCGGATGGATAGGTTTAGTGACTGGAGACTTGACATTGATGATATGTCATACGAGGTATGTTGTGCAATGATGCTCCAAGCACGAATTGAAGTTGTTTTCTGGGCCTCTCGTATGTGCATGCATCACTTTGTAAATTGAGTAAAGTGATTAGTAGTGGGTCTCATATATATATTTGATTTCATGGTTCCAACTTGAAACAGCAACTGCTGGAGCTAGGTGATAAAATAGGGCATGTAAGTACGGGACTGAAAGAAGATGAGATTGCGCACTGCATCAGGAAGTTTAAGTTGTCGGGCCTAAACGGGCTATCTTCGCATAATATAAAAGTAACCTTGGAAAAGAAATGCAGCGTTTGTCAGGTGCGTAAGAAAATCTGTGTCTTTGTGATAATATCGTATGTTGGTGCTTGGTTCAGAGCTGGTTATGAAGATTTGTATTTTGGGTTTTTGTGGATTTCAGGAGGAGTATGAAGGAGATGATGAGGTGGGGAAGTTGGAATGCGGGCATGGGTTTCACATACAGTGTATCAAGCAGTGGCTGGCATATAAGAATAAGTGCCCAGTATGCAAAACTGAACCACTGGCTAGAAGAAGCTGAAAAGAGGAAGCATTCATTCTGTCAACTCTTTATCCATTTCCCGCCTTCCTGGCTGGGTGGTAATGTGCTCTACAGCTACCTGTATAGATTTTATTTCCGAAATCGCAGAGAAAGGAAAATGTTATGATTCATTGATTCTCCTGAGGCTTGAAAAATCAAACTGAACCCCAGACCAAAACCAAGTCCCCCACCGATCAAATTTCGTTTTCTCACTTCACTTGACAGCATTGGTTTTTAATTTAATGATGATTGATTGTGCTGTGTTTAAGCTTGTCATCAATTTCATTTTTACATGGACTTCACTGACAGGTAGGTGGCTTAACATTCATTGAATAAAAAAGAATACTGCAGCAACTCGCGATACCTGGCTTGTTGACTTGCGAATTCTTTGCTTTTGGTCTTTTTGTTTGATTGGCTAGGGGGATTAGTGTCTTAGGCAAAGTCCAATGCAAAACCCCAAATTTGGGGATTGATACTTATTTTCCATTTTTTTCTTCAATGCTTCAATCTCCATATTTGGGATCTTAATTTTTTTCATTTTTATCTTTTATTTAAAAATATACTTATTGAAGCCTTAATATAATTTGTTCATTTTAATTATTGTATAGTTCGCCATCATTTTTAAATACAAATTTTTCGATACAATTTTATTAAATTCCAAGATCGAATTTTTTTTTTTGGCGAAAAATTATGGACCTAATTTGGGTTTACACACAACATTTTCACCCCAAATTTGGGGATCCTTTTGAAGATCTCTCGCAAATATAGAGACTCCTCCATTTATAGAGATTCCATTGGAGCCGAATTTTCCCCAAATATAGAGACTCCCCCATTTATAGAGGCGGAGTTAGCCTTATACTTCAGCTCTTCTTCTTGTAGAATATATACATATATACATACATATATATACATATATACATACATATAAACATACGGTGGCGTCTTCGGCGCATCACTTTTTTGGATACATTAAGTGCACTCATTTCATAACCGTCATTCTAAACATGCGATTCATGTCAAAATTATGGCAATCATCACTTATGATGTGATGAATAATAACACACATGAATTTGCACAAAAATCATTCGAGATAAACTTTAATTTGAAGGATTTACAGTTTAGAGATTTAGGGTTGTTGGTGCAGACGAGCGCGAGGATGCAGTGGCTTTTCGAGTTTTCCTACAAGAACCCTAATCTGTTGTAAATTGAGCGGAGATGAATAACAGTGAATGATGAAAACACCAAGTACTATTGTTTAATCTGAAATGAGGTGGAATTAAGGAATCAAGTTTGTTGTTGGGCTTAAAGCCTAAGCTTTTCTTGATGCGGCATGTTGACAATCTTAAGCTCAAAACGACTGCGTTGAGCTTTGCTTCTTCTCCACCACCAGTGCAAACCTTCTTTCTGTAACCTACGAAACAGAGTATGTTGCAAAAACAGAGACCGGTTATAGAACAAACTGAATTGAAATGAGCAAGCTTGACACCGAGATTTTTACGTGGTTTCCGATACTGAGAAATCAGTATCGACTAGTCCACGGTCAAAGGAACTCTGATTTGAGTCCTTTGACGATACTATGATGTTGTTATTCGGATTACAGTTTACAATCGATCTCGTAGTAACTCTCCGTTACTCGATCAGAGTTCCTGATCAGAATTCAGCTCCCTGCCAGAATTCAGATCGCTAATCTACTCACACTATCTCCCTGACAGCTACCTCTCCTTTTCTTTTCCAAAACACAGCCAATACCCTTTGTTTCTGCTTTTGAAAATTGATTCGAAAAGGATACCTATGCTACTAAAATTCTTCTCTTTTATATTCTGCATTTTCCCAGCCGTTGCCTTCTGATTTTGAGAATCAATCTCGTGTCTTGATTTCCTTCAATTTTTCGTTTAATTTGACCTTTCCTCTTCTTGCTCTAGCTCAGCAATTTCCGACCCTCTTTCCTAAAGTGTATGATGCCAGTGGACATAGCTTCACCCAACAAACTCCCCCTAAGCTTGTCACTGGCTCGTTTCCTTCCTGCACACATGTAACAAACAATCAGTGCAGTCTGTTCCACGAGACTATAACACGAATAGATGATGCATTCATTGGATATTCAAAAACCCTTAAGAATTTCTTATTCACTGACTTATTATTCAACTTCTGAATCAAACATCCTGTCATAAGCTCTTAATAAACATCCACTGGTGTACCTATTCTATCCTAGAATGGATATTTCGGTGGGGACTCATATTCAGACACAACATCATCATCACTAGACTCACTAGACTCTGAATCAGAACTAATTGGATCATTTATAGTTCCAGATTCACACATGAACTTGGGCCACATCAGATATTCCTGCCTAAGTTTCTTCAGTTTGGCAGACTGCTCCTTTTCACCTGATGATTCACGCTTGATAACAGTAACAACAGCATCAACAAGTGCTCCAACTAATCTCCCTGATGCATAAGATGCAGGACCAACTCCCCCTGAGCCAGTGAGAGGCTTACCGGGCCCTACTAATGCATCCAACTTAGCAAGCACATGTTGGGGGCGAATGTCGTCCATAACATTGCATTGATGTAGCTTGTCATGCATGTCAATGCGTAAGAAGGAGAGAAGTCTGGTGATTTGGGGGCCAAATGGTAAAGGACCATCAAAGTATTCCATCCCAAACCGGATCATATGGTGGAACATGAGAGAAACATAACTAATGACGGTACCAGCTCGAGCATGAGATAGAACCCATATGTCAGAGGTGTGAAGAATATCGGTGCTGGAGAGGTCACGAGGCAGAAAACTCCTAGTGAGGAAGAAATGAAGAACCTTAAGATCATCAGGCAGTCGACCATCAGCAGGACGAGAGGGAAAATATTGACCTATGTCACGAGTGACAGATTTTAAGGCATCCTGAAGGTCAAACCCCAGTGCTCCAAATTCACTGTCAGTGCCAGCATGAAGGCCAGCATGAGGGAGATCAAGAGCTGTTGCCAACAGCTCTGGAGTGACCTTGATTTCAAAATTGAAGACCATAGTGGTGAAAAAGGTCGGGACTGTCCCAGGGCCTTTCTGAATGTTGACATAAAACAAACGAACAGCTTCTGGACAGTAGCTGAACCTCATATTTTCCACCGACTCCCATCCAAGACTATGAAGAAGAGAGGGGATATTCATGTCATACTTTGAGAAACTAGAAGGATGGATGGAAAGTGATGGATAAATGGGACGCTCACGAAATCGTCTGAGATATCTAGAATAGACCGCAGCATTGCAAAACCCTTTGTTGTTGAAAACAGCAAAGTGTCGCAATTGAGCATTGGTCGGAGCCATGTTGAGCAGGTGTATGAGATATTTTGAGCTGAGCAGAATGAGTTGAAGCTCTAGGGAACCCTAAGCATCTTATAGGAGGGGAAGGATTAGAGATAAGGAAGGTGTATCATTATTCTGAGGTTAAGAATCCCAAGAAAAGGAAGGTGAATCACTTGGTTCATAAAATCAGAATATCAAGAGGTGGTAATTGCATCTAGGATATATAGGCCAAGTTTATTGCGTATAGACAGAAACTTTTCCACCCCTAGGGGTTTAGTAAAGATATCCGCCCATTGCATGTCTGTGCTTACAAATTTGAGTTGAATCTTTCCATCTTGAACTAGATCTCGAATAAAATGATATCTAACCTCGATATGTTTACTACGAGAATGCTGAATGGGATTTTTGGTCATGTTTATGGCACTTGTGTTATCACAAAGAATGGTAGGAGATCCCATTTTAAGGCCATAGTCTTGTAGTTGGTATTTCAACCAAAGAAGTTGGGTGCAACCGAGTCCAGCTGCTATGTATTCTGCTTCAGCAGTTGACAAGGCAACTGAACTTTACTTTTTGCTAGCCCAAGAGACTAATGAGGTTCCAAGGAAATGACAGGTGTCAGAGGTACTCTTTCGATCAAGAACACATCCAGCATAGTCAGAGCCACTATAGCTGAGGAGTTCTAAGCTGGACTCTCTAGAATACCAAAGACCTAGAGACTTTGAGCCTGATAGATAGCGAAATATTCTTTTTACTGCAGTTAGATGACTCATTTTTGGACAGCTTTGAAAGCGGGCACAAACCCCTACACTATAGACAATGTCAGGTCGACTTGCAGTAAGATACAATAAGGAACCAATCATGCCTTGATACAACTTGACATTTACTGACACTCCACTTTCATCTTTGGTTACTTTTTAGGTTGATCCCATTGGAGTTTGTGCTGACTTAAGGTTGTTTAGTTCAAATCTGTTAAGCATGTTTGAAAGGTATTTTGATTGACTAATAAAGATGCCATTTTTATTCTGTTTAACTTCTAGTCCTAGAAAATGTTTTAATTCACCCATAAGACTCATCGCAAACGCCCCTTTCATAGTAGCTTCAAAATTTTTACATAAGGTTATATTAGAAGACCCAAAGATTATATCATCGACATATACTTGGACCAAGATTGTGTTTCCTTTATCAGATTTTATGAAAAGTGTTTTATCCACTGATCCCCTGTGAAATCCATCACTGAGCAAAAAGCTACTTAACTTTTCATACCAAGCTCGAGGAGCCTACTTTAAACCATACAAAGCTTTCTTTAATCTGTACACATGATTAGGGTATTTGTGATTTTCAAAAGCAGGTGGTTGAGCCACATATACCTCTTCTTTAAGCTCAACATTTAAGAAAGCACTTTTAACGTCCATTTGAAATAGCTTAAAACCTTTAGAAGCAGCAAAAGCACATAGTAACCTGATGGCTTCTAATCTTGCTACAGGAGCAAATGATTGATCAAAGTCTATGCCTTCTTCTTGACTGTAACCCTGAGCTACCAGTCTAGATTTGTTTTTAGCTATCTCCCCCAATTCATCAGTTTTATTTCTCCAGACCCATTTAGTTCCAATTATTGGTTTGTCTACAGGCTTAGGTACCAAATCCCACACATTTAATAGTTCAAAGTATCCTAATTCATCTTGCATTGATTCTGTCCAAAACTCATCCTCTAAGGCTTCCTGTATGTTTCTAGGCTCAATCAAAGAGACAAAGGCAGTATGTACATTAGCTTTTTGAGATCTAGTGGTCATACCTTGATTCATGTCGCCTATGATGAGAGAGGGAGGATGCCTCTTCTGAATGTGGTGGGGCTTGCACAGTGTGTTCTTCGCTTTCATTTTCCTTGTTAGGACTCTGCACTGCTTCAGTGGTATTCTCTTCTTCGGTTGACTTCTGCTGGAGAGTTTTAGAATGATGTCCAAGTCCCAGATCATCATCCTCATCAATTATATGTGTACACTTACTGAAGGATTCATCAAATACCACATGTATGGACTCTTCTACCTTGAGAGTCCGTTTATTGTACACCCTGTAAGCTCTACCGTGGATAGAATAACCCAAGAAGATTGACTCATCCGATCTAGAATCAAACTTTCCCATATTATCTTTTGTATTAAGCACAAAGCATTTACATCCAAATGGATGAAAATACCCCAGATTTGGCTTCCTATCTTTCCATAACTCGTAAGGTGTCTTGTTAAGTTTAGACATGATCAGAGCACGATTAATGATATAGCATGCTGTATTTACAGCCTCTGCCCAAAAATGTTTAGGAAGACTATACTCATTCAGCATTGTTCTAGCAATCTCTATCAATGTTCTATTTTTCCTTTCTACTACATCATTCTGCTGAGGTGTTCTAGGGGCTGAAAAATTGTGTGCTATACCAGCCTTCTCACAGAATTTATCGAATTTCTCTGATATAAATTCACCACCGTGATCACTTCTAATATTAAATACCTTAGTTTCCTTCTCATTTTCCAATCGCCTTACTAGATTTTTAAAGTTTTCATAGGCCTCATCTTTACTTTCCAGAAACATCACCCATGTAAATCTTGAAAAGTCATCAACTATTACAAATGCAGATGACTTCCCTCCTATGCTCATTACATTGCTTGGACCAAATAAGTCTAAGTGTAATAGTTCCAAGGTTTTTGTTGTAGAAATGACTTGTTTAGATTTAAATGAGGATCTTACTTGTTTTCCTTTAGTGCAGGCATCACAGAAAAATTCTTTCTTGCAATTAACCTTAGGAATGCCTGTTACTAAGTTTAAACTTACAAGTTTTGAAAGATTACCTACACTTATATGTCCAAGTCTCCTGTGCCATTCTAATTGATCATTTTTATCAACGGTTACCAGACACATTCACTAAATCTACCTTTATCACTTAAATTTATACAAAACAATTTTCCTTTCCTTTTTCCAGAAAACAGAATTTTTCCACTTTCAATGTTTTCTACATAGCATGCAGTTGGTTCAAATACTACTCTATTTAATTCTCCACAAACTTGACTAATTGAGAACGGATTATGTTTTAGTCCATCAACTAACATCACATTTCTTATTTTAGGTGTAGTTCCAACTTCCCCTTTACCAAGAACGTCAGTACTATAGTTATCACCAAAATAAACTTTACCTTTCTTTTCTTTAATCAGTTTTGTGAAGAGTTTTTCATTTCCAGTCATATGATGTGAGCATCCACTATCCAGAATCCACTCGCTATCTTCCATGCTCACTTGGAAGCAGACCTAATCACACAATTGATTTACTTTGTTTTAGGTAACCAAATCAGCTTAAAACTGACATCTTTTGGTTTTGGATTTTGACACTTATAGCTCATATGGCCAGTTTTATGACAGCTATAACATACTGTTTCTCTCATTCTAGCTTCTTTAGCTATTCTCCTTTCACAATTAGCAATGTAGTGTCCTTTTAAATGACAGTAAAAACATTCAAAGTTTGCTAAACCATGCTTGTGGGTTGTATGTCGTGACCTACCAGACTGATTTCCTTTTGTGTTGGTGATTTCATGTCTTTTACCATGTTCTGCTAGCTTGATTTCGAGTTCACAATTTCTTTCCAGTACTTCATTCATTTGCTTATCTAGAACAGACTTTTCTTTTTCTAGATTAGCATATTTCTCAGTTAGTTTGTCGAATTCTAGCTTAAGTTTTGAATAGCTTAGAGTCCTTACCTAGGACGAGTGGCATTCATCGTCACTATCCCCAATAGCCATAAAAGCTTCTTGCCTTGTACCAGATTCTCCATCTTCGTCTTCATCTTCACTGCAGCTCCAGGTGGCTGCATATGCCTTGTCTTTCTTTAATTGAGCACACTTTGCCTTGATGTGTCCATTTCTTCCACACTTAAAGCACCCTGCTTGTGATGTATTCTTCTCAGCTAACTCTTTTCTGAATCTTGTGTTCTGTCTAGATTGCTTGAATTGATCCTTGTCTGAGTCAGCTTCCTTTGCTCGGCCATTGATGTTTCTTCTTCTTTCCTTCCTTAACCTTAGTAACTTGGCCACATGTTTACTTAACATGGCCAATTCATCGTCCTCCATATCATCCAAATTATCAAATTCCTCTTCCTGTTCTGAGACTTTGAAAGCAATGCTCCATTTTTCTTTTCTTGGTTCCTCACTTTCTTCTCGTCTCAACTTATCTTCGTGTGTAACTAGAGATCCCATAAGCTCATCTAAGCTTAGCTTGGTTAAATCTTTAGATTCCTCTATTGCTGTAACTTTGGGCGTCCATTTTCTTGGCAGAGCCCAGAGTACTTTTCTGACCAGATCAGCACTAGTGTATTCAACTTCCAGTTTTCTCAGGCTGTTGACTATAGTTATAAACCTATCACGCATCTCTTTGATAGTTTCATCCGGTTTCATCACAAACGCTTCGAACTCTTGCTTGAGAACATTAATCCTTGAAATCTTGACATGAGTAGTACCTTCGTGAGCAATCTGGAGTTTGTCCCAGATTTCTTTCGCGGTTTTGCATCCAGAGACACGATGATACTCCTCTGGCCCTAGTGCGCAGTACATCAAGTTTGTGGCCATCGAATTCAGTTGGAAATTCTTCTTATCTTCATCGGTCCATTTTCCTCTAGCCTCCTTGACTTCGAGTGGACCATCCAGCACGATGCTCCAGAGATCCGGATCAGTTGACCCGATAAACAACTCCATGCGATTTCTCCAATATCCGTAATGCACTCCTTCAATACGTGGCGGTCTTGTCTGTGAGAACCCATCGGCCATGAATACTCCTCCCGTGTTTGCACTTGAACCCATCTCTGGAGGTGATTAAGCCTTTTACGTCAGGCTCGGGCTCTGATACCACTTGTTGGTGCAGACGAGCGCGAGGATGCAGTGGCTTTTCGAATTTTCCTACAAGAACCCTAATCTGTTGTAAATGAGCAGAGATGAATAACAGTGAATGATGAAAACACCAAGTACTATTGTTTAATCTGAAATGAAGTTGAATTAAGAGATCAAGTTTGTTGTTGGGCTTAAAGCACAAGCTTTTCTTGATGCGGCATGTTGACAATCTTAAGCTCAAAACGACTGCGTTGAGCTTTGCTTCTTCTCCACCACCAGTGCAAACCTTCTTTCTGTAACCTGCGAAACAGAGTATGCTGCAAAAACAGAGACAG